AAAACACCGTACTAAGGCATGTCGAACTACCTGTTCAAAATAATTGAAGTTCATTTATAAACTTTGGCAGTTGGTACCGCTCCTTTGATAAATGTTGGCAACAACCTTCCTGGGATGTCAAACCGCTCATCTGGTCACAGTTTTCTTCTTTTGTCCATTGCCTACTTACGTGTCAGACCTTGTTAACTGGTAGTTTTAACAGGCATTAACGCTACTTATACGGCGAAGCCCACCTCTGAGGATTCCCTCATGTTTGTTTTGTATTTCGAAATTCGCTTCTGTCCACCCCTAACTTAATTATTTTTAAATCAACTTTATTTTTATTTTTAAAGGCTTATGAGGGATGTGCAATCGGGAAGGCCAAACAGAATGCGAAGACCGAGTTAGAGCAGTTAAAATTGAAAGATATGACTATCCAAGAACTGATCAAAGAGGCAGCAAAAATGTGAGTACTAAACAGCCACATTATGAATGCAATAAACTTGTCCTTTTAGAAAACTATACCATTTGCGTGGTTATATTGCACTTCGCATTTTAAGCGTTTACTCATTTTCGAGTTTTTGGGAATAACTTTCCCACTGTTTCAGTAATGGTGTAAATGGATACTACCACGTTCACTTTTGCAGCAGACAACTCATTTTATTATCTTGACATGTTTTTGACTTATAGTAAGGTTTTCCCTAACTGTATTTCGCCCTATATCCCGAAACTGAGTAGGAAGAGTAGGAAAATCCGGTCTCCAGTTGATTCTACGGGAATCATATGGTTGAAATCACAGACAATGTATAGTCTCTCCTAATTCACTGTTTACTTGGTAAATAACCAGTTAAATTAGTGCAACAATGGTTTTCGCACGTTCCTGATGTCAATTCTGTGGATAGGATGCATTTACTCCGCATTCGTATTCCTGAATATCTACCGTACTAATCACATTTGCAGACCGCTCAGCCGTCCTCGACTGAGCAAGTGATCAGCGTCAGAATGTTCTGACAGTTAGGAGTGGACTACTTGCATACCCGTACCTGTGACGGCTCCTACCAGTACTGGAATATCTGTTTTGTCTTTCATGACATTCGTCGGCTGCGACCTCGCACAATATATTCAACTTTTTGAGATATAGAGCGCGCTAGTGTGATTTTGTGTTCAGTAAACTAAGTGAGAGGCTTCTCAGTAACCCTGTCGAAACTATCAATCATTGTCTGAGCCCCCGGTGACCCTTAGGCTCTAAACAATTTAATTCTTTCAGTGCGGTTGGTAGGTCTGCAGGCAAGACCAACGGTCGTAATGTGTTTTTTT